GAATGAAATGCGTGCATAGATAATATGTAATCTAGATATAAGGTAATCGAAAAGGTGAAAAGAATAATCAACGTGCTTGTTTGTGACTACTTCGTCGTTGGCTGTCTCTCGACTCAAATTTGCATATTTTTTGTTTTATACGTCACATAACGAAGCTTCGATCTCTCTCGCGCGTTAACATTGTGCGACATGAATGTGCACGAGCGCCTTGAATGCGGCGTAGCGTGGCCTTGAAGCCCAATTTTATCAGCATCGGCGAGCATAAGAGCTCCCCGAGTGTTGTCAGACCTCGCGAGGGAACATTTGTCCCGGGTATTGACGGTCACTCAAACACGCGGCACGGAAGGCTGTCAAGCCGACCGTGGGTCCATCAGGCAAGCAAATGGAAAAGCGAGCGAGCGAGAGAGAGAGAGGGAGAGAGAGAGAGAGAGAGAGAGAGAGAGAGAGAGTAGAAGTAGCCTTTGAGGCTATTAAAAAAGAGACAACGAACGAGAGTATTCAGCGTAGGCGGAGCGAACGGATGCGCACGGCCGCGGGGCCTAAAAAGGGGGCAAGAGTTGCCGAAAACTGTAGCGGACGTCCGGAAAAAGGGGGCGAGGGGACCCCACACCAAGAAAACACGAGGGAGGTACACTCTTGGTTCAGCGGGCAAACAGGCAACTTGTTCCTTGTTCACCAAAGCTGTGCGCTCAGCATATCTTCGAAAATCTTGTTCTTGCGTTTAGTTAGCTAAGCAATTAATATTAAACTTTTGTAAGGCTTTTTCCTCGAGCGCCTTGAGGTTTTTTATGCCATTTTCTGCTTATTCTAAGTCATATTAAAAAAGTTATATCTCATTAAAATTTCACTGAATAAAGTTATTAGCTCAAATCCCACAACCAACACTACTACTTCCAGGAGCCCAGACGAAATAAATGATATCGAGGTGGACGACGAAGATCCGCAGTCAGATGATAGTGCACATTTCGATACATACGAAAGTCCTCAATTGTTTACATAAGCTCTTCTAAATAATTTGGTTAAAGATTTGGACCTACCAAAAAATAAATCAGAATTGTTAGGTTCTAGGTTGAAAGAAATGAATCTGTTGGCTCGAAAAACAACTTTTTCTTGGTACAGAAACAGAGAGCAAGAATATATCAGATATTTCGCAGAGAAAGATGGATTGACTTACTGTCATGACGTGACTGTCTTAATGACAAAATTAGGCTTGATATACGTCGCTACTGAATGGCGTTTCTTCATCGATTCTTCTAAAAGAAGTTTGAAGGCTGTCCTCCTTCACAATATAAATAAATATGCTTCGATTCCACTCGTCCATTCAGTGTATATAAAAGAATCTTACGAGAATATGCAGATAGTTCTTGAGAAAATTAAATGTGAAGATTATAAATGGTTTATATGTGATTTGAAAGTAATAACTATACTTCTTGGACAGCAGTCTGGGTATACCAAATACCCATGTTACATTTGTTTGTGGGATAGTAGAGCTACTACATGTCATTGGGAAGAATCTATGTGGCCACTTCGCACGTCTCTGAAGCCAGGATCACACAATGTTCTCAAAAAGCCCTTGTGTGATCTAAAAAAAATACTTTTACCTCTCCTCCACATAAAATTAGGATTAATTAAGCAATTCATCAAAGCCCTTGATCAGAATGGAAAATGCTTCCACTATTTATTGGATAAATTCCCAGGATTATCTGATGCAAAAATAAAGGAAGGTATTTTCACAGGTCCGGATAGAAGGATTTTTGGGAAATAGAAAAGTAGAAAATTATTACGTAGTCGTTCAAAATATACTTACCAGTTTCAAAGAGTTGGGTTGTAACATGAATTTAGAAGTACACTTCCTGAATTCTCATTTAGATTCTTTTCCTGAGAATCTTGGAGCCCTAAGTGAGGAGCAAGGAGAAAGATTCCACCAAGATATTCAAGAGATGGAAAGAAGGTGTCAAGGTAGATGAAATGTTAATATGTTAGCTACTACTGCTGGGCTCTTAAACGTGAAGATGATGGTCTACAGTATAAGAGAAAGTCAGAAACCAGAAGCCTAGACGAAAAAAGGAAACGATTCCACAAATCAAAAAATTGATAACATTGAAGTATCTGACATAATGTGGTTAATAGCATTGCTATTGGGTAATTAGGGGGTTGCTAGCATTCTCATTGCGTTATTAGTGCCTTATTAGCTTAGTTCATATTCGAGGGTTATTAGGGGGGAAGTATATAGGGGGGGGCTATTAGAGGGTTGATAGGATAGCCATTGAGTCATTAGAGGCATTTTAGCATTGCCATTACGCTATTAAGGGGTTCATAGAACCGTTCATATTAGGGGGGTAATTAGGGGGTTACTAGGGGGGTGATAGCACTGTCATTGCGTCATCAGGGGGTTGTTAGCATAGTTCTTATACGGGGATTATTAGGGGGGTGAGTTATTAAGGGGTTGATAGGATTACCATTGGGTTTTTAGGAGGTTCATAGCATAGTTTATATTAGGGGGTTATTAGAGGTTTATTAGGGGGTTGGTAGCACTGTCATTACGTTATTGGGGGTTTATAGCATCGTAATTGTGTTATTAGGATGTTTATAGAATAGTTCATATTAGGGGGGGTTATTAGAGGGTTATTAGGGGGTTGCTAACATTGCCATAGAAATATTAGGGGATTATTGGTCAGATAAACCTTAAAGCTGGGTTCATTCAATGCAATTTTTTGGATATTACCTTGACCTAACCTTGACTCTGAACTAACCAGGTCAAACGCACCCCAGATTCGAATTCAGCGACCTCAAAAACCTATAGAAACAGTACCTGGACCAAGATTAATGGGATAATCTTGATTTGACCTTGATCTAACTTTGACCCCTGAGCTAATCGGGTCAAATGAATCGTGGATTCGGATTCAGCGACCCCAAAAACATAAATATAATGGTATTATCTTTTACACTTATATTCACATATGACTTTTTTTCGTGGGGATATCATATTTGTATTGTTGGTACTGTTGTTATGAAATCGTTAAAGTGGTGAACTTCATTCGATGATATCTCCGCGAAAAAAAAAGATTTGTTAAATTTTAAAAATGCGTTGGAAAGGGCAGAAGCGGTACTTTGAGATGGTCAGATTCGTTTTTAGCAAAAAAAATGTTTTGCGGTGTAATATAGCTTCTAAAACAGCGAAAATACGTGTTTTTCGCACTTTTAAGTTAGACTATCTTGAAAACGTGACGTGATAGAGCATTTCTGATGCCTGATTCGTGTCAGCGTATAAAAAACCTTCGGAATATGTTGCTTATGTTCGTGCGATATAAATCACGATGACCTGTGTAATGAATTAAGGAAGCGTGAAAATAAATGTCCGCGGACATGCACTTCTCGAAGCCTTTGCAATGTTTCAGCTTGAAGTAGCCAATACAGGATTGACCTCGACCTATTCTAAAGCTGGAAAGTTATTTATAGTAGATCTTACTTTAGTGAAACCCCTAGAAGGCCTTAACTGGAGAGTTAGCGATCAGTACACGGGCAGCGACCATTAAGCCATAATGTACGCATTCCAGCTGACCAACAAAGCAACAACCACTAGGACAATAGAATCGGAGATAGGTACCAAATATATTTGATCAGGAATCGGTTCACTGCTCTTTAAGTAACATCAGTAACTGGAACCGCTGAGGAAAAAGCGCAGGATCTTACACAGGTCCTGAAAACTACATGCGATACATCCACGGCCGGGAAGAATAACTCAAGGGCCATCTACTCAGTGTATTGGTAGGCAAAGATTACAAAACAAGCCGAACTTTCAAATTATGACTAAAAAATATGAACAATTGCAAACACTACTCAAAGCCGCTATTAAAGTAGCCAAGTGATAGTATATTGGCGAGACTTCTGTGAGAAAATAGATAACGATCCCTGGGGGCCAGTCGTATGAAACGGTCATGTACAAGATCAAACTCAGGAGCGACGCACCACCATTATGCTCAATATTTCTCGACAAAACTGTTCCATTTGATTCCAAATCACTAGGAAATATCAGAGCAAACAGATCTAATGCTAACCGACGGAAATGAGTTATCAAAGCTGTTCGAAGCTGAGCTAATAATAGCCTCCAAGAACATTGCCACCCGTAAAACATCAGAACTGGATGGAATACCAGGTATGGTAATAAAGACTGATACACTGAATGTCCCTCATATTTTCGAGGAAGACATTCATCGTCTGCCTAAATGAAGGACTATTTCCAAAACAATGGAAAGTATAGAAAATGGTGCTTCTTACCAAAGGAAATAAATCTCCCAAGGAACCATCATCCTACCGGCCACTCTGTATGCTTGACATTACTGGAAACCTGCCGGAGAGAATAATCTACACTAGATTGGAGGTAGCCATAGCAGAAGCAGTTGATCTGTATGAAAATCAGTTCAGGTTCAGGAAGAGCAGCTCAATCATAGAGTCTTTTAGCAGGATCATAGAACTGGTCACCGACGACATTAGTGGAGGAAGGAGTGCAAGACGTATGTGCGCCGTGATTGCACTGGATATCCGGAATGCAATTAAATGAATAAGATGGGTCGTCATTATGAACTTCTTAGGAGTACTGAAGGTGCCACTATATCTGCGAAGAGTATAGTGGCACTCTATCAAGCTACCTAACGAATTGAATTCTACACTACGACACCGACGATGGCAGACATTCATATAATATTACGGGAGGGGTGTCACAGGGGTTGATTCTTGGGTTCCTGCTATTAAACGTCCTATATGACTGACTATTAAGACAGCAGTTTCAAGGGGAAGTAGAGATCGCGGCTCTTGTCAATGATGTCGCCCTAGTAGTCACTTATAGATTCTTATAGTAGTATTCTCAATTATAGGTCTAATCATTATATTATCAGGGGGTTCCTTCTAGTATGTGTATGTGTACGTGTGTGTTTGTATCGTGAGAGAAAGAGACAATGATTGTGTCTCTCATTCGTTATAAAATATACAAATTTATTTACCTGAATAACTCGACGTGGTCGTAGGTTCGCAAGTTTTTTGGCTGCCGCATCAATACTTGCAGCAGCACCTAATAATTCATTCTCAGCAATGATTGTTGGATCTTCAGGACTAATACCACTATTCCCTCTCAATATTTCGGCTATTGCAACTAATTCTGTTACGCTTTGAGATATTTTTCGTGAGATTGGTAATAATAAATGCTTAGAATCAATCTGTTTAGTTGATATCTGAAGAATTACTTGTAGTAATTCTCTATAATTCATAGCCAAATCATGACCAGCTTGAAGTATACGATGTTTTAAGTCGTTTGATTTAATATTGTTTTGAGCTGTGGCCTTGCAGACTAATAAAATATCACTGATGGATTTGCGGCTTACGTTAGCTGCAGCAATTATATCGTCTTGTTTGCAGCTGTTACCAGCAGCGACTGCTTTAGCTGTAGATGTACTTATACTTTTGGAACAACGAACTATATCTTCAGGTGAAACTTTCATTTTTAAATTATCTGTTGAATTCAGTACTCTTGTTTCTTGTACTATGGCTGCAATGGTAGATTCTAAAGCACGAGTACCTCTGGTATGTTCATTTTCTACAGCTTTTACAGTTTTCAACAAAGATGTAACATTAGTTACCATCACCTGCAATCGTAATAAAGATTTACTGATAAGATAATTATGAATAAATTAATCAGATTTAAATAAAAGTGTTATTCAGTCATTTTAAAGGTATGGTGAGTTACAAAAAATAATATTCAAGTTTTTTCTATAAGCAATGTAGAAATAAATAAAAAGAAAGCTAGAAGTATCATAGGCACCCAAATGTGGAAAAAAGCTTAGCTAATTTCTTGAGAAATTTCTTTGATTAAGTAACTTATGCTATGCTAATTCTTATCTTTACAAAATTTTATAATTAGTATCCCATTTCTTGAGTCCTTGAACATTTTGAGCAAAAAGTGGGTTTGAGAAATCATTATCATTTCTATTCTGTAATTGGAAATCTCACTTTGATATGTCCCGAAGCTATCAGGGTTATATCCCTGGTAGAGTTAACGACCATTTACAAGTAAAATACTTAGATGGTTTTACTTATAAGTGATCATTAATTCTGTACTATATAGGTTTCTATTCTAACATTGACTTTTGAATGACCTTGAACTGGATCGAATCGAAACAAACCGATATCGAATTTTTTGATCACTTTGATTGAAAGGCCAAAAAACCTGTGATTGTTAAATATCAACAAATTTTAGATTACGTGTTTGTAGTATACTACATGAGTGTAAACATTAAATAGCCATTTTCAAGCGTAAAAAGAAGACTTCCCCAAAATAAAAAAATATGTCATTTTTCGATACTGATCAAGTGTACAAAATTTTAGAAAGATGGAGATTGACCCTTAGATAGTGTTACTCATAAGTGATAGTCAGGCTTACGTCCCTTTTACATTTTTGAATATTTACCTCATAAAATCGTATAAGTTCTAGTTCACATGGTGTCAAAATATCATAAATTTAATTGTAAAATAACAAATTATATCGATTTTGTATACTTTTGCTGTTTTAGTATTTTGTTCTCAATCCAAAAATTATAATCATTGGTTTTGTTTGTGTTACGTGACACTTCATTGTGTTATAATTGTATTTCGTCGAATAATATTTCGGGCCCGAGATTTCCGTTCGGACATAGTATAGCTAGCAGTATTCGTGTGCGCGACTCGGTAGGAATGTGCGGCAGAGGCTGATTCACGCTGCGGCAGCATGCTGCGACAGCATGCTTCGGTCAGCGTGCTTAGCTAGGTAAGACGAGCCGATACGAGAAGCGTAAACGACTAAAGCATATATGCGAGAGAGAGACGGAATGCGAGAAAAAAAGATATATAATGAACCGGCGAAAACAACGACACACAGAATTAGTCAGTTAGGAGCGAGCGCTCGACTAAGAAGGCTGCAATTTTCCTACTGAAGTTAAATCTATAGTTTGAGAATATAAGAGTTAGAGTTATAATCAAGTATCAGAAGTGTCGAGTACATTCGCTTTAATAATTTTGTGTAAACGAAAACCATAGGAATTATCATTTTATTGTGTGTTGTCACATTATTGGATAAAAAATATATTGGACCAGTTGAATCTGACCAGATTCAGAAAGGAGCGATTGCCCGCATAACGAACCAAACAATATTTCGAACTAAAGAAACAGAGTGAGTACTTCCGTCCTCTATTCTTGATAAACCAAAATTTCTTCCTTGTTATTTTTCCTCTCTCTCTTTATTTCGATAACTACTCACCACATTCAAGGTTCCCCTTTCGGTGAATCCATTTGTTTGCGTACCGGAACCAGGTGTGTAACGACGACCGACCGCGTATTTTAGGATATTTATTTGAATAGGATAGTAGTCCGATATCATTACTAGACATGTTATCTTATATATCTAAATATATATAAATATATCTTACGTACCCGTGTAAGTTCATTTTTAATAAACCAGCGAGCCCTCCCCTTTTTTCCCATTACTCTCGCTTACCGCTCGCGCGGACGAATTTCGGATATTATCGGCGAAAACGCGATCCATTCGCTGACACAGTCGGGGTACTGAAGGTTCAATCCGCCCGAGTCAGGACCACTTGGAGCTAAAACGGTCTAACACGTGCCCGTTTTGTAAAGACATCAAAACTGTCACGTAACAAATGGTAGCAGAGCGTGGTTAGTGCCTTCGAATAATTGCCGATAAATCATTGTGTCCTTTCTTAATTCTATCGATACGTTTTTTATATATATATATATGTTGGCTCTAGAATTTTTTTTTGGAGCGGCACGTGGAATTGAAACCCGAAGCGTTTCTTCCGCCGTATAACTTGAGCTTTAGCGAGGAAGAAATTTTCGCTCTTTCTTACGCGTTTGATTTCGCTGAAGTCAGCGGGAAATTTGAACATCCTCGAATTTCTTTTGCTGACTGAGTTTTTCTTTTCTTTCTTCTTTCATGTATTTTCGTCTCTTACCACCTAACTCCAAGAACAATAAAGTCTTTCTATCATGACGACTGAACAAGCGACCTTAAATCTTCTAACTAGTATGTCAGCAAGTTTTACTTTGCAAAATATTGTGCAAGGAATCACGGAATTTGATGGGAAAAATGTTCCCCTAAAAGACTTTATTTAGGACATCCGTAACGGAAAGGAACTTATAGCTGATACACAAGAAGCGAATTTTATTCGCTTGATCATAGCGAAATTAAAGGGGCCAGCGAGAGATTGCATTTACGGTAAACCCGTAAATACTGCCGAAGGACTAATTAAAGTACTCAAGGAGCGTTTTGCCCCGTGTAAGGACTTCTTTTATTATGATTCGAAGATTCACAGTTTGCGAATGAAAAATGGGGACACGGTCGGAGATTTTCACGACCGTATCAATATTCTACTAAACTACGCACAGAATGCGCTAAAAGAAGAACTTGGAGTTGAATATAGTGATGTTATGATGACCCCGATAAAGAATTCCACACTTGAAACCTTTATTGACGGGCTCCCGAAAGAAATCGGGGACTTAGTCGATATTAAGCAGCCGAAGTCTCTTGAGGAGGCTTACAAGGAAGCCTTTCGCATAGAAACTAGAAATAAGAACAAGCCGAAAAATGCTGATCTTAATATGAGTAAGTGGCTGTCGATTAACCGTGGATTTAACATTGGCTATATTCAGGATCAGCAAGTTGAGGCTGAGGAACCATATTACGAAGAATGGGAAGACTTACCCGCGGAAATCCAATAATTTTTTATCCAACGCCAGAATGGACGATTTTACCAGAATAATCAACGACAGCAATCCAAAATCAGAACCAGGAAAGCCAGCCTCAACAACAGCAAAATCAGTCCCAGGGGCAGAGGCAGTTTATGTTTAGAAATTGAAGGGGACGCCAGCAGAATAAAAATTTTCAAGATAATGGCGGTCACCCATGACGATTGTACAATCCTGATACGGACAAGTATCAAAATCCTACGGGACGAAGATACGGGGCAATTGCCTATGACCAACAACAGAAAATCAACGAGTTAAGACCGAACCCGCCGTATCAGCACTTCGGAGGAAATGCTGGTAATTTAAACTTGAACGGGGCTCGCCCTGGAGTGACTGCGGCGGGCCCATCTCAGACATCCCCGGCTCAGAATTATCGGCAGCAACAGGCGAAAACTCTGATAACGGAAGTTCGACAGATGCCGGAAGTTGAGAAGCCGGGAGTACCGCCAGCGAAAGTGATGACAATACTGAAAAATTCGGAGACGTTTCTTCCGAGTCAGTCGTCGCAGTTGCCGGAGATCGGGGACCTAGCGCAAGAGATAATAAAATCTATGCGCTTACAAGAGTAAGATTTCGAATACCCGAGACCGATAAACGGTGGACCGTATTTATGGTCGATAATGGATCGGCCGTAAATCTTATAAAATTTAATACCTTACATTTGACTACGAGGTTCGACCCAAGAGAGTCGACTACGCTGAGTGGCATAACTCCACACACTGTTCCGACTCTAGGCACTGTATTGCTAACAATAAATGGCAAGCCTGCTAAATTTCATATAGTATGGAATAATTTCCCCATTGAAGAAGATAGCATGCTAGGAAAGGACTATCTAATAGACACGAGTGCAATTATATCGTATTATAATGGAACTCTAATGGTAAACAGTGATTTGATGAATCCGATACCATTTCTACCTGCTAATGTACCCATGGAGCGCTTACAAGACAATCTTATCAAAGCTATGCGCACAGTACCAAAAGACGATGAAATATCAGAACTTGGAGCTGATTCGGACCTGGATTATGCGATAGAGGAACTTGCGAACGAAGAGATTAGTAACTCTAAGCCCGGTCGAGTAAAGGACGACGTCAATCACGGCAAAGTCAGGTACACCAAGATCTCGTCAAGTTATACAAATTAAGTTGACAGAAGGCTACCTGCCCAGGATTGACGTGAAGGACGAAAAGGTATTTCTTGGAGAGGGAGTAGTCGCAAATGCGAATAATACCTGTAAAATCATGGCGATTAATACATATGATGACGAGGAAGTCACCATTCAAGTGGACCCAAGAGAAATTTTACCATTCGAGCAGTTTCAATCGCAGTTTTCCAGCTCTAAAGGCGAAAGTGTGTCGGAGTCTAAAGTAGCCGGGCAGGTCAATGATCAATATAAGAAGAGGGGAGAGAACCTCTTACAATTGATTAGGACCGGATATCTTAGTCCAAGCGAGCTCCAAAGCGTTAAGCGACTATTAAAAGAGTACCCACACGTATTTCTACTACTCGGAAAACCATTGCCCTGCACGGACTTAATAGAACATGAAATTCATCTTGAAAATAGAATTCCTGTAAATACCAAACAGTATAGGCACCCTCCCGTTCATAGACAATTTATTTCTCAAACGTTAAGAAAACGATTGGAAGATGGAATAATAGAAGAATCGAATTCACCATATAACTCGCCACTTTGGATAGTACCTAAAAGCCCGGCAAGTGATGGGACCCCAAGGTGGAGAATGGTCATCGATTTCCGAGAATTGAATAAAAAAGCTGTCGGTGACGCTTACCCTTTACCGAATATAGGGGATATATTAGATCAACTAGGGGGATCCCTTTATTTTTCAAC